TCTTGAAATAAAAGAAAAAAATCATATTTACTTTAGGTACCTATTATAGTCACAAATGAAATGTGTCTATGAGGAGGATTACATGAATACATTTATACAGGAATAATTTATACATGAATACATGTATAAAATTTAGGTTTATGGGATATTTTATATGAACATTCTAGTATTTTCAAACCTTGTTATATAGTATTTTAATATTTTATTGAAGTATTTCATGTATGCCTTTTGACTAATTCTCTGGATTGAAACTTTTATTTGCATTACAAATACCGATTTGGGTTATGAATTATTTAGTTCTGAAAGACCTAACATTCCAACAAACCAAAGGGTGTTTAAATCTATGATAACTTCTAATAAGTGAATCAAATATTCAGTGTTGGATTAAAGCCATACCAAATATCTAAAAATGAGTCAGAGGTGAAGTGAAAACCAAATTATCAGTCTTACGGTGTCATATCAACCCATTAAATGAAAGTCACACTCAGCAAGTGGTGAAGAGGGCAGCAGGATTACCAAGCTCCACGTCTTCCTCAGCCTCACACTCAGACATTTCTCCCTGCTGCTCAGTTTCTGCATGCCCCACTAGCTTTGACCCTATGTTACTGTCTCCAGCTTGAGTTTATCACCCTCGTGGGGAGCAGCATATTTTTTAGGTCCTATTTAGGTTAATTAAACTCTCCTAAACCCTGTAATTTTCTTACCCAGCCAAAAGACAAGAACTCCCCACAGTCCTTCCTAGGCAAATAAACTGAATTAGTCTTATACCTGAGGTAGTCGTATGCCCTTACTAATTATTTCATGTTGTTCTTCTACTTCTTTCTATACTTGTATATATCATAGGTACTTATCTAACTAAACCTCTCCTGTGCATTATTTGTAAAATTGCTATCTTCACGTATTTGTCTTTTTCTCCAATTCTTTTTCTTTCTTCTCCATCTTTTCTTCTCAACTATACTTTCTGCGTGTTCTATGCTGTTATCGTTTTGTTTTGTTTTTTTGTTTGTTTGTTTTTGGTTTTTCTCCGGTACCAGGAACCGAACTCATGACCTTGCGCTTGCCAGGCAGGCGCTTTTGCCGCTGAGCTAAATCCCCAGCCCCTCTATGCTGTTATCATCACTCATTTTACCTCTGTGTTCCTATAAGTTTTACATATTTAGATATGTATCTAAATTTCACATATTTAGATGTGTAGTATTTTTTTAGTTATAAAACTTCATTGTTCCTCTGGAATAAAAATATGCAACAATATTTTATCCCTAAAAATCCAAGCTTATTTTAGAAATTCAAAAACATTTAATAACAAGAAAAATTGACTTGCTGCTTGGACACAGGTATTAGAAAAATACAGACTGTGAAAAATATTATGGCAATAACTTTTTCAATGTAGGAACAGAAACTCAAATTTCTCCAGATGTTGAAAAAAAAAATCTGAGTTTAAATAATTGAATAATGAGATTCTGAAAGAAAACAATCTAGTTAGATCAAAGGTAATATTTCAAAATTGTTTGTCTTTCCATTGGATAAGAAAGTACTGGACTCCTAATTAAGGGGTACTCTTCTAAAAGTAATCTTGCAATATGGTAGAAGTCTTCTGTGAATATAATAATTTCTCAACATTAAACTTTCATCTATTTCTATAATAACTCTCTATCCAACTGGCAATTATATCTGTCCCATATCTTTCAGGACATAAAATGCTACAAAACCATATTCTAAGACAATATTCCTACAAACTCTGAGACCCAGAATGAGTAACAGGAAAAGAAAGAAATTAGATAAGGCACGTTTGAAAGGAGAAGTAGCACTGTAGATATAATAAATGTGTTTTTAAAAAGAGGTCTCAAGAAAGTAATCAACTTCATTTTCCACAGAAGGCTACAAACACTTGGCAATTTCTAGAGATAGTCCTGTGTGGTTTTAGCATGCAAGTAATTTATATTGCTGTTGCTGCTTATTCCTCTTTGCATTATAAATTATAATATATAGAGTTTTTTCTGTATTTATAAAGGAAATTCACGTCTAATTGTCTTGAATGCTTTATGGACTCTTTATGCAAATATTTTACAGCTCATTATCTAGTTGAATAACAAGATACAAGGTTGTCAGGTGATATATTCAAAGTCTGTTTTTTTTTTTCTAAGTAAAATAAATATTCATTGGTTTACTACCGGCATTAATTTTTGTACTAGCAATAAAATCCTGAAAATGTTCAAAAATAGAATAAGGTATATTTACTTCTGTTTTGGCCTATTTGGTTTGGAATGTAAAAATTAGTTACAAATCTGGGTTAAGCTATGAAAAAATATCACTGAAACTGAGGTCAAAGATGAAAAGAAATAATGATTGCAAGATCAACATAGCTAATATATCGGAACACTAAAGGAAAAGTTATTATTGCCAGTTCCAATAAAATTTAAAGTACTTGCTAAGTAATGAATATTCAGCATGTACTTTTGCTTCTACAAATCACATACTTACTCTTAAAAGAGTGTGTGATCAATCTAGTTTGGAGACCAGGCCACGTACAGAAGGAAAACCCCTCTGATATATACACATATAGTAAGGGAATTACAATATAGTATTCTGAAGAATCAGTAAAAAAAGGAAGAGCAGAAAATCTAAAGATCATTCTCATACTTGAGATGACCCTTGCAGGGTGTATACCAGTGAGATTCACACCTGCAAAAGCACAAGGGGAAATAGGAAGCTTGGCTGTATGCATTTGTCCACATGGCTCAAGCCATTATTGTGTGAGGCTATAAGGCCTACTGCATTATAATACTTGAGTTTCTCATATAAGTAAAACTATACGACATTTAAACTTCTGTGTCTGATTTATTTCTCTTAACATTATGATCTCAAAATGCATCCATGTTCCTACAAATGATGCAACTTTATCTATGTTTATGACAGAGGAGAAGGGGACAAAAAAGAATTGAGATATATATACATGTATAAACTCCCCACAATGAATGTAGTCACTATATACTATAAACATGTACTAATGAAAATACATAATAAAATAAAATAATAAATAATTTCAAAATATGATATTTGTGCAAGATGTACATGTCCAAATCTAAATGAAGGAAAGACTGTTCTCCAAAAAAACTAAAACAGTAAAGATAGAGGTCAGTGTGAGGAGGAACATCATTTTGAAAGCTGCAAATCATGAGACATGTGTTTCCTTTTTGTGTGTCTGTTTTAATACTGTTATGGATAGATTTGATAAGAGAAGCTATAGAATCGATCCAGTTGACACTTTGAATGACACAGGCAATTCAGGAAGAACAAATGTTTCCACTCCTACCAAAATGATTGCGTGTATTTTGTAACTGGGAATTGGACCCTGGTCACTGCATGTGCTAAGCATCACTCCAAAGGTGATTCTATAAAAAATGAAGAGACTTTAAGAGTTAACGGGTAGATATGGAGTCCAGTTTGTATTTGGCTACTCAGTTTTAGTGGTGAAGCAAATACTTTTTTTCATGTTTTGTCACTGTCACTCAATTCACCCATACTAATCTCATAACACGGATGATGCAGTTGCATCCAGCAATCATCCTAAATTAGGCTCCTCAGAGTCCAGTGCAAGATCAACCAGAAGCATGGTCAAAGGCCCTGGGCCAACTCCTGGCAGGTACATCACACTCACCATCTCAGTAGGAATCTGTTGATTGTTTATTATAACACTATTATATACATGCATAGGTGCACAGCAATAAGCAAAGTACAGTATGTTTAGAAAATCATAATTGGTAAGTCATTAATAGTCACTGAACTATGTATATATGATAACTGAATTGTATTAGTAAATTACATTATATCACTTAATCTGTACATGTGTTCTATGACATGGGTATAATCGTGCTTTTTTAAAAATAAGAATATTGATTCTCAAAGAGGTGAAATGACCATTTCTAAGGTTACAAATATAGAAAATGGAATTCCTAGGATTTTAAGAAAAAGGAAAATGTTCCTTTTATAACCAGTTAGATGAAAGTTCAAGATAAGTTTACTATACACTGACCTAAGCAAAACTACATTTAGAGCTATAGAAAATAGAGATATTGGCCATTGGAGTTATTTTTCAGTAACCATATTATAAAATAATTGCATGCTTTAGAATGGCGGATGGTGAGACAGAGATCCCTTAGCTGGCAGAAATAGCACAAGCAAAGAATAAATGTAGGAACAAAGGAGACAGAATATATTTAAGTTTATACATGTGGATGATAGTCTTGGGGGACTGGAAATTCATATACAGTACCAAGTTTCAGCCCTTTCTGGTGATTTGTCTCAGAGAATAAAAGCCCACCAAGTGTATCCAGATTTTTTAAAGTAGCATGTTCACAGCAAGCATTAAATTCCTTTTTGACTGACTGCTTTGTTGACTTTCTCCCTCTATATTTAGCTCTCTGCATAGAAGCAGCATTCAAACTTGGAATGTGCAGAGTCCTGGCACACAAGCGCTGCTCAAGAAGTACTCTGTCCTGTGCTGCTATGGTCAGGGTTGCTGTGCTAGAAAAAGCAGGCCAGATAGCCATGGCTCTGCAGCCACCTTCCTATTGTGCTTCCTTCCTCCTGCTTTGAGCAAACTGCTTTTCCCAGTTTGTTTGAATCCACGCTCCTTTATAATCACTAAATATCTGCAACATATAGACTTGATGGTAGTAGCATAAAACTGTCTGGAGAGAAGATATCCAAATCCAGAAGTGAATAAGCAAGCAGAAGACATTCACAAGGTAAGCGACACTTCTCGTCTCATTGCTGATGCTATTTTTGTTCCTTTCTCAGCCATCTTTAATATTGCATGGAAAATGTTGACACACCATTTTGCCTTAATAGGAATATAGAAGCATTGAGATAAAGATGCCAACAGAGCAAAAAAGAGTTCTGTCTCAGCATCTCTGGCCTCTAATTCTCAGTGGCTTCATCTGATCACAAGGAATATTTAGATGGATGTCTCAGGTGGAATTTTGCCCATCAGTGCTAAAATGCAGATCAACAATCAGAGCTTGCTGGATGATTTCATCTTACTGGGATTTTCTGACCGCCCCTGGCTAGAAACACCACTCTTCATCATTTTTCTGGTAGCCTACATGTTTGCCCTATTTGGAAATACATCCATCATCTTAGTTTCCCGCCTAGATCCCCAGCTCAACAGTCCCATGTATTTTTTTGTCTCAAATCTCTCCCTTCTAGACCTCTGCTATACCACAAGCACTGTTCCACAGATGCTCATCAACCTGAGGGGATCAGAAAAGACCATCAGCCATGGGGGCTGTGTTGCCCAGCTCTACATTTTTCTGGCCTTGGGGTCCACTGAGTGTATACTTCTGGCCATCATGGCCTTTGACCGCTATGCCGCCATTTGCAAGCCCCTCCACTATGCGGTCATCATGAACCAGAAACGGTGTGTCCATATGGCTGCTGGAACCTGGGCAAGTGGTTTTGCAAACTCCCTTGTGCAGTCCACTCTCACAGTGGTGGCCCCAAGATGTGGGCGCAGGGTGATAGACCATTTCTTCTGTGAAGTTCCCGCCCTATTGAAACTAGCTTGTACTGACACTCGTGTGAATGAAGCTGAGCTCAACGTCCTGGGGGCTCTGCTACTGCTGGTGCCCCTCACGCTCATCCTGGGGGCTTACATACTCATTGCTCAGGCTGTGATGAAAATCCGCTCTGCAGAGAGTCGCTGGAAGGCCTTCAACACCTGTGCTTCTCATCTGCTTGTAGTCTTCCTCTTCTATTTCACAGCCATCAGTATGTATGTCCAGCCTCCCTCCAGCTATTCTCATGACAGGGGCAAGATCATGGCTCTCTTCTACGGCATTGTTACACCCACCCTCAACCCCTTCATCTACACACTGAGGAACAAGGACGTGAAAGCTGCCCTGAGAAGGACACTGATGAAGGATTTTTGGGTCAGGACAAGATGAACTCTGAAAAGAAGCCCTAGAAAGCAAATATGGATGCACCACACTCTCAAAGGAGATGCTGGATGTGGAACAGAAGAGGGAAGTGGTGCCCAGGAGCACCAAGGGCACAGTAGAGCAGGAACAGGAAGAAGTGTGGTGAATTGTACATGACACTTATCCATAGCCCTCCTGTCAGTAGGAGCATTCCAGGAATCTGGGGTGCCTGCAATCATGGGTAAGGTTGAAGCTGAAATTTAACTGGGTTCACACACTGTGGCCATAAGGTTGGCAGTTCCAGGTGTAAGAAAAAAACTAGCATGATTCTTTTTCTTGACATTTTCATGGATAGAAGAGTCATTCTCAGGTTGAACTTAGCGGCATATGTCTGTAATTTCAGCACTCAGGAGGCTGAGACAGAAAAATCCCCACAAGTTCAAAGCCAGCCTGGGCTACATAGTGAAACCCTAACCCTTTAAAAAAAAAAAAAGTTTCATTCTTACCGTAGATCTTGCCAACCTCATCATACTCATTATATGATTCTTCTCTACAGTGAATTGTTAGGTCCCTCTCTTTCTCCATCTCTCCCTCCAGTTCCCGTCCTGGAGACTGAGCTCAGGGTCTGTACTCAGCCTCATTTCTCTATGTAATGGAAGCACATGCCAGCTTCACACTGGAATATCTGAATCATCAGTGTCACTACTTTTGCACTTTGGGCCCATTAGCAAAAAAGTGGTATTGAACACATGCACTGCTCTTCCAGGACAGTTGATCTGGTAGCTGAAAGGGCTTCTGAGTGGCTCACCCTGTGGTGGTGAACCTATGGTACGTGTGCTGCAGCTGGCTGTTACCACTGAAAGCCGTCACCAGACCAACAGCTGCAGATACAGTGTGCATTGTGGGTGCACTGCACACTGGCCTGATTCGTGTCCAGATGGGCCAAAATGGAATGGTGTGAGACTTCATCATGCTACTCAGCATACTTTGCAATGTAAAATGTATGAACTGTTGATTTCTACATTTTTCTGTGTAATACACTGTATGTGAGCTGCAGTTGGCCATAGGATGAGAGAGACCATGAATAAAAAGGGATTGTTTTATCTGCTTTACAATACCAAATTTTACCCAGTCCATTGTATCTTTTTCCCAACACTAAATACTAATTAATCTAATTATCAGTGGAGAAAAAGACAAAAATATTTAGAGGAAAAAGATTTTTAGAAAATTTAGAAAATATTTAACATAAATTAATACATTAATATTTTAAATTGCTATTGGATTCATTTAGAAATGATCCCATCTTTTAGAAAAGTATGCTACTACTATCCTGACTCATCTTTAATCAGTATATACTACTTCAGTCATCTCTTAACATTCAATGTGTAGTTACAGTCACCTTCAAGGGTTTCTGTCAGGTGCCAAGGTGAAATTAAGAGACAACCAAGTCAAAATCATAAAGTTAGAAGTATGGAAAAATAAATGCATTAAAAACTTGGAGATATAATTTTAAGAGTTTTTGTTTTCCCATAAATCTCCATCAAGTGCATGCTGCACATATATCAGGGCTGGTGTAGGAGGAGGCATCTGCCATGCAGACAGACTGGTGGAGGACCAAGGGCAGCATCCGGCTTTCCACAGAAAATCTTAGGTAGGAAATTCTAACCAAAGAAACCTAGATTACTTGGTATTATTAAAAATCTTCCTACAGTTTTCTTTGATTGTATTTTGGGGTTGTCACATGTACAATTTTAAAATTTTAATTCATCCAAAAAAAGGATTTTATTTCGCATATTTATGCATGTGTCTAACACACTTCAGTCACTTTCACTGCCCCACTCCCTCTCTTCATATGATTGTTTTCTCATTCACTAAGTCTGCTTTCTTCTTTAATGCCATTTTCCTTATGTTCTATAAGTAATCATTTTTAGATTCTATCTATGAGAGAAAACATGCAAAATTTGACATTCTGACTTAGTTCGTTTAACATGATGGTCCCTTGTTACATCCATTAACCTATAAATGACATAATTTTAGTCCTCTTTATGGCTGAAAATTATTATGAGCACATAGGATATTTCTACGGCTGAGTAATTGTGAATTTAACTATTATAAACATTGGTGTGCAGTATACAACTCTGGTATGTGACTTTAATTCCTTTGGGAATATACCGAGGACTCCAGTAACTGGATTAAACGGCAACTATACTTTTATTTTTTGGGGGACCTTCATACAGATTTCCATACTGGTTATATTAATTTATATTCCCTCCAACAAGGTAGAAGAGTCCCTTTCCCGTACATCTTTGTCAGTATGTGTTCTTTTATAATAATTGATGATAATTATTCTGTGTGACTAGACACAATCTCAGTGTCGTTTATCATTTGCATTTCCTTAATGGCTAAGATGTCAAACACTTTTTTTACAATTATTAACCTTTTGTACTTTTTTTAGAAAGTGTCTTTTCAATTAATATGCCCATTTATTGATTTTTGGGTTGTTTTTTGAATTGTTTATGTATTCTAGATATTCATCTTCTCTTCAACGAGTAGCTAGAAAATATTTTCTCCCATTCTGTAGGCTATTTCTTAACTCTTAATTGTTTCAGTTGCTATGCAGAAGTATTTAATTTGATATATATTTGTTTGTTGATTCTTGTAATTGTCTCCAGTGCTATTGATATTCCAATCAAGGTGACTCTTCCTATGCCTATAGCCTTAAGTGTTTCCCCATGTTTTATTCAGCTTCAGAAAGTAACAGGAATTGCATGCTTCAGAAGATAACTTCCTTCACCACTTGACAGGGTACATTAATTCTATTGCCATGTGGAAATTATGAGAATACTACTGAAAGGGAAAATCTGTATGAGAAATTGTTCTTTTCAAAATTTTGTTCTTTTGAAACTACCTAGCTCTGTAACTGCTTTGTAGCTTTGTAATTACTTTCTTAACCCCTAACCACAAGAGCATAACCAAACATGCAGGATGCCTTGTTGTACTATCATACCAAGCTTCATGAACAGATGATCATTAATCTACCCTTCTACCCAGTGGTCTCACCCTGCTAGCTAATCAGAGGAACTTCCAGGCTGTTCTGTCTTACCTTTGTAGTTCCTTTGTGTCTCCTGCCTGTGCATCAAATGAAAGCCTTAGATCACTAGAGATCAGGGCCTGATGTTCTGGGAGTGATCCTGATCAGTGCCTATCAATGTAAACAAATCTGCCTCCAAATCATGTCATTTGGATGGTTCTGCTTGCTGTTGCAGTATGTTGAATTCAAAATCTTGATTAATACTTTTTTTGCTTTATATCTTCTTGCTGTAAAGTGACTCACAAATACATATTAGCCAAAAGTGTTTAGGCTAAATAAAGTGAATGTAGCAGGAACTTGACTCACTCCTGAAAAGGAAGTGAAATACTCTATTCATCACAAATGTAGCAGAGTTTTCTACAAGCTGTGTCTGTCATGGGATAATAATTTATTTGTGATTGTATGCTAATTAAATGTGCATACTAATGTATGTACTAACAGCTTAATTCAGAGTTTGCAAGGGATGAAGGGAAAGGCAAGAGAGGGGAGGGTAAAGAGATAGAAAAGAAGTAAGACGTGTTATACATGTGTATCAATTCCCCACAATGAATGTAATCATCATGTACATCAAATTATACTAATAAAATAATAAATTTCTTCATATCTGTCAAAAATCAAACTTTCAAGGGTGTAGGGGGGTGAGGGCAAAGCCTATATAATACTTGAAAGTGATTTACATGTTTCATTAAGAGGACACAGAATTTAATGCTTAAACTTGTAGCCCTGTTTCCAAAGAAAACAACCTCAATAATAAACAGGTGCAGTGGTCAATTAATTGTCAACTTGAGCGGGGAACAACCAGATGAATTGAGTCAGCGTGGGTCGGGGTGTGGAAGATCCACTTAAGGCCGATTGTTATCAGAAAGGTATAAAAGGGAAACACGAGGGGTGGATTTCGTGCTGGTTTTCCTTGGGAGAGCTTCACTGAGGCTGGTTTTCTGTCTCTGGAGAACTCTGGTCCTTCCACTGCTGAGGATGGCTGCTGTCCTCCTTAGAGGAGCTCTCGTCTTCGCCTCCATCTTAAGTAGTCTCTCCTGACTTTCTGCTGTTCAGCCTTTTGGAACAGACACTCCAGCTTCTAGCACTGGCTCTTGGGCCTGTCCACTGCAGATTCCTCAGCTTCCTAATGCAGACTTATAGAGGACCTTGCAGTGGGCTCTAGGCCTTCAGCTCGGTTCTTTAGATTTCCAGCATGCTGACAGATCTCTTGCACTCTTCTACATTTGATTCTGTGGGCAGAGATTGTCAGCTAATCTTGTAAATTTCTATGTCCTGCATTAAGTCTGACTTCGAGCATATGCGGTATTTTGAGGAGCCTAGCCCCAGCAATGCAAGCTCTTGTAAGCACTGGTTACATCAGGTTAATTATTACAACATTCGGGTTACTGAAGGATATGGTAAAATACAGACTTGAAGATGGGACTGGCGGAGCATGCCTGTAAGCCCAACATTCTGGAGGCTGGGGCAGGAGTATCACTGGGAGTCCAAGGCCAGCCTGACTTACATAGTGAGACTGTGTCTCAACAAACCAAAAATTAATAAATAAATTAAAAATAAAAGCTTCATATCAACTTCCAAGTTATTTTAGAGAAGACACGGTATTTCAGTGAAGATCATTTCTCTAAGTCTTATCCTAACTCTAAGCTTTTCTGATTCTGAAAGTATGTGTGCATTTATGTAAATAATTATAAAATATTTCATTTTTACATGAGGTCTATTCAAGCATACATGATCTGGCAAGTGAAATTTAAATTGTTAATAGGGGAAAGTATACTTCTTACTGCATAAATCTGTAAACTTATACAACAGAAAACAAATTATAAACACTACTCATTTTTTCCCACCTTAGATATGTAATCTATGTAGGACACGATGTTGGAGAAATCTCATCAAGAGTGGAAAAGCAGTCTGGATTTATATTGTTGTAGATGCTGCT